AAAAAAAAAAAAGTTACCTCACACAGATAAGTTAGAGGCAGAACTAGGATTTTTTTTATATCAATTTCTTTCATTTTTCTCTTTTTAGTTTTTACTGAGGAAAAATTGGTTTACAATACTGCATAACAATTAAGGAAATATATTTCCATCACTCTCTTTACCATCTATTTTGTTTTAAAAGTACACACCATGCAAGGAAAATGAGAGATACTTTCTACTGATATTAGACTCTCCTTCATCTTAGGAGTCAAAAAAAAGAGGCTAAGTGGAGGAGATAAATAAGAGGAAGGGCCTATTCCTTTTGCCTCCATTTGCTCAATGTCCATTCCTGAAAAATCATTGAACATTCCAGTTTTTGGATATTGGGGGAGGGGTTTGTTGCCCATATTCCCTTTGCACTTTCTTCCTAATGCCCCATCTGTACACAGATCAGAAAACACAGTCATTTTCTATCTAGGCTTATTTATTTTTTGATTGAGGTGGATGTTATTAATACATTCTGATCTTTTTTGCAAATATGAAAGCTGTATGATTTTTATTTTCAGTGAAAACAGAACCCCCTGAGATTTCCAGTGTGAACCCAGTTTTAGACATCAAAAGGATGGTTCAAATAAAATGGAGAAGACCTATGGTTCCATATGATTTAAAATACAGACTTCGATTTAGAACAGTAAATAGTACCCACTGGGTAAGTTAGACCATTATCTTTCTTTCAGAGGGCCCAAGGAAGATAATCACTTGTGGTGACCTAGAATCATCTTGTCCTTTTTCTCTCTACATTTCCCATTTTATATTCTGAGTAGGGATGTAATAATGATTGCACATTCTGAACAGGACACATATTAAAGAGCGAGAAATTTTGCATTTCACCCTGGTTTATGGCTAGCTGTCCTGGCTGCTAGAGAGTCTATGGTTTGACCATTTTATTTTTTAAGTTTTCTTAACTTTTATAAAATTATGAGCATAATACATTTAGAAAAGTGAATGCAGAGCATAAGTTTTGCATGTGACAAATTATTAAGTTGTGCTCATGTTGAAAACCACCAAAGTAAAAGCGAGCATGCCAGACAGAACCCCTGCCCTACCCTTTTCTGATGACAACCTCTCCTCCCTTAGAACCATTATTCTGACTTTCATGGTAATTACATCTTCTTTTCTTTTTTTTGTGGCTATACTGTGTAAGTCTGCATCCCTGAACAACACAATCTGAGGCATTATATAAGTGAAATACAGACTTATTTTCATCTTCAGCCTTTTCTTTTAACATTGTGCTTTTAAGTTTTATTCATGTTTTAAATTACTATATATTATACATTTTCATTGTGTAGTTTTTCACTGTCCGAGCACAATGCAATCATGTACTTACCTGACTTTTCATAAGCTACACAACTTTTCATGAGTTTATTGGCCATTGGAGTGCTTTGTTTTAAAGCATGGACGTAAGTGTGTGGCACAGTTTTCCTGATGGCTGATCTATACGATTTTTAAATTGACTATATGAGTGCCTATTCTTTTTCTGAGTCTTTGGTATGTGTGTTGCAAACATCTCTTGCTTGTGGGATTTGCTTATTCACAAAAATAATATATTTTAAAATTTGAGAAATAACTGCTAGTTCTAAAAAGATAAAAAATGGCTGGGGATGAAAAGGAAAAATGGAAAGACATGCGGTATCTCTTCTCGCTCAGGGTTTCCTCTATCTTTCAGATGAAAGTTAACTTCAAAGAAGAGTTCAATGAAGTTGAATCATACAACCTCACAGGACTACAGGCTTTTACAGAATATGTTGTAGCTCTACAGTGTGTGGCAGAGAAGTCAGTGTTCTGGAGTGGCTGGAGCCAAGAGAAAATGGGAACAACTAAAGAAGAAGGCAAGTTGGTCCCTTGTATTTCTTTCCCGTCTATACTGGTTTAGAGTGACCTGGGTCTAGTCTTTGTAGATTTTGTCAGTGCCAAGGAATCATGGAAAATCTGCACATTATCCCAGGGATGTTGTAATGACCCTGACTGATGGAAAGCTGGGGGGCATTTGTGATAGAGCAACTTAAGCAATCAATCACTTGTTTAAGAACACACTTATAAGCAGACATGCAAAAAGTGAGGACATAAAAACCTGGCTGTGTGAAGAGGTCCCCACCCACATCAAAATTAACAGGTAGTCCTGATAAGATGCCTCTGCAAACTGGCATAAATATAGGCCCCAAAGCTAACGCAGTTTGAGATGCTTATGGACTCCATGCCTCTGGGACTCATGGCACTCCCCTATCTTTCCTTGCACTTGAGGGGCTGAGGGTTTCTTTGGGCTGGTCCCACTGCTCTATTGCCAGTTTCCTAAACTTGACCACAAGTTTTGTTCCCTTCCCTCCCTGTTGCTGTCAATTTAATTGTATGATCAATTATTGAAATGAGGGCAGCCCACCCCCACCACCCCAAATAATTTTGTACTATAATTGTATGCATTTGGTATGAATCCCGAGTAAACCTTCTGCTTTACTGCGTGTTAGTAGAGTTCTACTAGCGTTCTAAAACCTGGTAAAACACTCCCCAGGCACTCACCAATACTCCTGCGTCCATAGTATAAGCCAGTCCTCTTCTGATGGTATTAATTACCTTAGCAGCTTTTTTTGCCTCAAAGACAAAAGATCATCTTAACTGTGAAGTTCTTAGGCTGTATGTAGAACAGTATAGTATTATTTTAAAATGGCCTGTGATAAACTAAAGATGTGTATATTGTAAAAACCTTCAAGCTAGTACTAAAAGTAATAAAGCTATGACTAATGGACAAAAGAGCTCACACCTTTGATGGCAGTAAGGGAAAGAAAGAAAGGGACTGAACACAGGGTGAATGAGGTAGTGATGAGAGTGCTGTAGTGCTTGAGTCCACAGCATGGCTTAAATCCCACTGGTTCTGGAAAGACTCGGGGCAAGAGACCTACTCTTTAAACCTTGCTTCTTCACTTCTTAGTCACCTGTTCCATAATGGAAGATGATTTGTGAAATTGAGTTAACAGCAGTACCTCCTTTGTATTACCTTTTTTTTTTAATTAAGAGAACTATTTAACCTGGTGTAAATACTCAATAAATACCAAATTTTCTTTTGTTAGTGTTAGTTTTTCCTTTGTGATTACATATAAATAGTTTCACTTCTCTGGAGGTGAGGGAGTTAAGTTCAGTGATATTAATTAATTGTCCAGGGTCCCTCAGTTGATGACCATGCTCTTAAGAGCCTTACCCAGTGCCTGATCCCATGAGACAGCCAATGTTTAATGGATACATTAGTTTCCTATAACCACTGTAACAAATTACCTCAAATTTAGTGACTTAAAACAATACATTTTTTTCCCCACTTATTCCTCTGGAGGTCAGAAGTACAAAGTCAGTTCCAGTGAGGTAGAGTCCAGGATAGATAGGGCTGTTTCCTTTTAGAGACTTTGAAGAGAGAGTGCTTTCTTGCCCCTTCCAATTTCTAGTGGCTGCCCATGTCCCTTGGTGTGTGGCCCTTCCCTCCATCTATATGCTTCCATCATTACCCTGTCTGGTTTTTTTCCTCTCCTCTCCTGTTTAAACTCTCTTTTCTCTTACATTGACATTTGTGATTATGGACTCACATGAATAGTCCAGGATAATCCCTCTATCTCAATATACTAACTTAATTCTGTAAAGTCCCTTTTTCCATATAATGAAACATTTACAGATTCCAGGTATTACTAGGTCTTTGAGGGCCACTTTAGGGTAGAACAATGAGTGAATGAATGATTGCATGATTGCTTGATGATAACCACCCATTGTTTCCTGAAACATGGAAAAGAAATATAAAAATATTGACCTTTCTAACCATTCTCTGCAGTTTTAACTTTATTTGTTTGCAAGATAGGTAACATAGATCATGAATTTCCTCCTTCCACCTAGCCATAATTTCAGGCTCTTTATATAAATCTCAAAGCCAGGCCCCACATTGGTCTCAAGTAAGAACTGTGCTTGCTGCCTGGGTCCATCTGAGAGCAATTTCTTTCTCTGAAACCTGGTTGTGTTTTCCACGGGACCACGTTAGTAGTAACAGATGTTTGGTGCTTTTGCCAGAGTGTCAGATATCTGGAAACAGTCTGATGCCTTCTGAATGTTTTATCCCCCACTGGAGATGTTCATGCTTAGTCTGGACTTCCCTTTGGTGGGTATAGTTATACAGTAAGCTTCATGTGGCACATGGGACCTGGACTAAATGGCTTGGGAGTTCCTTCTGTCCCAGGATTCAGTTCTTTTCTGCCATTCATGCATTTAGTCTTCTTTGCCTGTCTGTGCCAGTACAGGAAGAGGTCACAGAAAAATCAAATCATGATGGGTTTATGTGATTAGAACAGTGCCTTATACATAGTAAGGGTGACTTAAATTTGAAATAAATAAAAATATGTACTTGGACAAAGAAAGCTAATCAAGTGGTAGCTCTTTTGATCAAAATTACATGTTATATTTTGAAACACATATATACTCTACAGACATCACCTCAAAGTATCCAATAAATATGAATATAATAGTTTACAAATACCAAATAGCACATAAATATAGTGGTAAAGAAAAAAAAAAAGATCCAATAGCTGTAAGCTGTTGTAGTAATGACTTAGCTAATCCCTCCCTTTTTGGAGATTAGACTAGAACAGTTTCCATATCAGGGACATTGTCCCCTCCCTTTGCCACAACTTTCAGCAGACAGTCTGGCACACCAGGTTCTTCATCTGTCACCACCCTCTGCTTGCTGTAGGTGTCACTCTTCCTTTTCCTGCAAACTCCTGTTGCCCTCATGGCTAGTGTTAAACTCTCTCTTCACAGTCAGGCCTTAATGTTAGATTCATATACTTGGTTTGCTGCCAGAAGCAAGATTTATTATTTCAGCCAACTTGACATAGAGTAGTTAGCAAAACACTAGATTAGTACCCATTGCTAATTTCATCATTCAGAGCAACATATTTCAAAATCACTACCAGAAAACTTTGCTCTTCTTTTTTATTTTTTTTTAAGACTACAGAGGAAATTGATGATAATGAAACCTCACCTGTTGGAAAATTCTAATTTCTCTTTTCCTAATTCCTAAGCTGTTTATTCCCCTGTTTCACAATGAAAAGCCAATTGTTTGACATATATTACCTCAAACTTTTCTGAATTTAAACATTTCTAAGTTGATGTGACATCCATTTTCTTCTGGATTCTTATATATTGATTATTAGGGTTATTTACCCATATTTAAATACATTAATACCTACTATGTGACATAGAATCATATTCAAACCCCAGCTTTATCACATAAAAGTTTGTGATATTGGAAAGTTGCTAATTTCTTTGTGTATCAGAAATAGAGATAATACTGGTGCACCTAGTTATAGGACTGTGGAGGATAAATACAATAATTCAAGAAAAGTGTTTAATACGTGACATTTGTTATTTGGTCTTTAGCAAAGGCACCAGTTTGTGTCTAATTGGTACTGGTTTTGGGGATCGATCCCACATTGTAAAAGAAAAAAACAGCATCAAATTGTTACTATATCAGACCAAATAATTGATGCCTTTGAATACATAATTGGCAGAGCTGGAAAGTTTTAATTCTGTTCTTTCACAAATACAGAAGTTTTATTTTCCTCACCCTCTTGATTAAATTGCCAATCCATTATTAACTCTTGGTCAATAGAAACTTGAGAGGAACATCTGGAGATTTCCATGCTAGTGAGATGGTGGTTTAACTCACAGCTGTGTTTGTGGGAAGTCTCATTCAGGAAGACTATTTTTCTTTGGACCATATGTACAAATAATAGTGGCCTCAGTAACAGGGGAAAAAATGCTGTTTAAATTTATCAATCATCACCGTTTAATAAAACTAAATTGTTATCCATGGCAGAAATCTAAGGAGAATTTCAACCATATTTTCAATCAAATGACCAGAATGATTATTTAATAATCAGTTTTATTTAACCTCTGTGTATCCATGAGATATGATTTGGGACTGTACTGTAATGAGCACTTTGCCTTTTGTTTTTTTTTTTGTTTGTTACACTAATTGTTATTAGTACGGAGTTTGACTTCTGTTTACCTGGAACAGAGAGCCTCTGAGAATGAGAGAGTCAGTCCCCCTCCTACTTGGTGGGTCAGCTCTGAAGGTCTAATGGCTTTGTGCCTTTGTGCCAAGGTCATATTCTAGCAGGAACTTTGTGCTCACTTCTGTTGGCCTGTAGACAGCTTGCAACCAGACTGTTGATGCCATCTGAGAAAGTTGGGTACTGGCTGTCCTGTCTTCTGATTCTGTGAAGGCCCTGGGGAACCAGGAAACTGCTGGCAAAGCTTTTAAAATAACATCACAATGGAATGTGGATGAGTCATAGGTAAACTCTGCATCAATTTCTTATGATACGAACCTTACATGAAATTATAATTTACTCTCATTGGGAGATTTGTAGTCTAACAGATTGTGTTACCTACACTTCCATTTCTATAAGAGTTTTAGAATGTGACTCTCCATTGATGGCAAGACAGGTAATTGCCCTTTGGCAGGTTTTTCTACATTAGGAAGTTTCTTTAGCTGGAGTTCAGTAATTTCACTTTAAGATACTCAATCACCTGAAGTAATAAAGAGACCTGAAGACAATCTCTCAGTGCTAAAATGGTTTAGGTAGCTTGAGTGACTAGTTGACTATAGGCCTAATTATAATGATATATCAGCCATGTGATTTCTTAAGGATATTCAGAGCTCATCAACTGTGACTTTGTTTCCTTAATTATAGCCCATTGACCTTCTGGGTGGTTCTTTAGAACTCTGCTTTTCTTTTAAGGCTGAAGTGTGAATGCCATTTTCTAATGAGCTTTTCAGTTGTTTGACACTTGAGGCACGCATCAGAGCTTTCAGCTGGAAATTGCTAGTGATACACTCCTTGTCAAAATTTGCTTGAGATGTGATGCTGTGAGAGATATAATCCAGAGATCAAGTGAAATGTTAGATCATTTGACGGCCATACATGTAGATTGTGTTATTCACTGGAAAAACGCTTGAGTCAGGTTTAACATTATGTTCTTGCATTTTCTAGAAGACAACCATGAAAAATGGACATGGCTCCAATTTTGCACTCATTCATGTTGATTACAGACAAAGTTTTTTATTTTCTTCTCTTTTGAGAAGATCACATGATAAATTCCATTTAGTGAGTTCCATAAATTCAGTGCCTATAGTCGGCAAATAACTTGCCCTCTTGATATGAATTTCTATGTTTCGTTTTTTTTTTTAAAGATTTATTGATTTATTTATGCATACAGAACTGGGGTACAGGCAGGAGGTGCAGGGGCAGTGAGAGGATTTACCAGAGACAGAGTGGGGAGCAGAGCAGGCTGACTGATGAAGTACACTGCTGAGGGGAGCAGCGGGCAGGACAGGAGAGGTCTGCGGTGCCATGTGGATCACCTTCGGGGCGGGTATTGAATTCATGCTGAGGTAGCTTTAGCTCCTTAGTGCTGTGCTTTAACCTGCTGCTCCACCAGGGAAGGCCCTCTATGTTTCCTTTCTTATCAGGCCATTAGAAACATGCAACCCTGTAGGCCTCCTGTCAGGAAGATCAACATTAAATTTCCAGCTCAGGGAGGAATCGGTGAAGATCATTTCTCTGCTCTTTCTTTAATTCTTTCTTACAGCTCATAACATGGGAAGTATGCAGTTTCATCCTTTATAGGAGCAGATATGTTACAAATTATGTATAATAATTACATATTAATTTTATATATTAAGTTTATTCATATTAATTGTCTCCTTATCAATTAAAACTGTCATTCCAGCTACAGTGTGTATACACATTACAGCTTAGAGGAGAGGAAATGGCACCTTTCAATTCCGATGTGAATGATATTATGATGGAGTTAAGTGTACTTTTTTCTTTCAGTCCTCAGATCCAAGAGCAGGTTTTTTTTTTTTTTTTTTTTTTTTTGTTACCTTTTGTTAATTTTAAGCCTTAGATCTCAACCTGAAGATGTGATCTGGGTTTTGTGACACCACCAATCTCCTTCTTCCTCCTACCGACTGCCTCAGGCAAATCCCCCAACTGCATTTTCTAGATAGGTGGCTAATTTGGAGTGTCTGCCTTGTCTGAGTTGAACAACTCCCTCTTGTTCCTTACAGTTCCCTATGGCCTGGATCTGTGGAGAGTCCTGGGCCCAGCCCAGGAGGATGGAAAAAGGCTGGTGCGGTTGTTATGGAAGGTGACCTCCCTCTCTATTATTTCTGTTTGTTTGTTTAATATCTTTGATCGCTTACACTTCTAAGACATGTGACTCTTAAACCTTTTGAACTTGACACCCCTGAATTTCATTTCTTAGAAGATTTATGGTGTTCCAAATATCACAGTGGTCTCCCAGCTCAAAAATTCACTGGGATCATCTTGTGGATGGCCTGAGTGTGCATTTCAGACCCCAGCCCCCGTTTTTGTTCTGAAGCTTTGGAACAGTACAAAGTACAGGAAATACCTTGATAGTGATGGAGAAAACCATCAATGGCTGGCCTCCATTAGAAGGCAATATAAAATGTAGAGCCATTATCCCCACTTTGGCAAAGAGCACTACCTTGGGTCAGGTCATTACAGAGGATGTACATGTGTCCCTTCGAGTCCTGGGATAGCAGGTGCAAGAGCAGAGCAGGGCCTGCATTATTTTCTTTAGGATCGAGGCCTGAAATGAAGAACAAAAAGACTAAGTGGGTGATGCACAGAGGAGGAAGCAAGAGGATAAAGGAAACTAATAGAAAAGGGGGGTGAGGAGGGCATGCAGAGGAAAGAAAAGGACAAACAGAGGGGGGTAATCCAGAAAACTAGGGGGGATAAGAATGGGGCAGAGGGTGGAGGGAGATAAGGAAGGGAGGGGTGGGCCCTCCCTGGTGGCGCAGTGGGTTAAAGCACTGCACTGAGAAACTAAAGCCACTTCCACATGAGTTCGATTCCCGCCTGCCCCGGAGGTGACCACATGGCGTGGCAGACCTCTCCTGACCCGTCCGCTGCTCCCCTCAGCAGTGTACTTCATAGATCTGCCTGTTCTGCTTCCCTCTCTGTCTCTGGTGAATCCTCTCACCCTCCACATCTCTGGCCTGTACCCCAGTTCTGTATGAGTAAATAAATAAATCTTGAAAAAAAAAAAAAAAAAAGAAAGGGAGGGAGCAGTGCAGTGCCAAAACTCTAATATGTCTCAAAATCCTCAGAAAATACTCCTCTTGTTATCTCATACTTGATGAAGTCCAGGCCAGTTTAGAATTGTTTGAAAATAGGAAAATCACTCTGCCTTGTCAAATGACATTCCAGTCTTATTACTACTTATTTCCGGGTTGGCACAGGCTTCTACCTCAACCTTCTCCTTTCACCACTCCACCCACCCCCTCAGGGGACCACCCTCAGGTTGCTGAGGCAGCAGACAGGGAAAGCACAGTTAGTGGTGTTGAGAAATCTTTGAGAATCAATCCCAGATGTGATTTCTTTCTCAGTTATTAAGAAAGAAAACAAATGACTCCATCAATATATCTGGGGGAGGAAAACAAACAATGGCATATGCCCACCTGCAGCCTTAGCCTGGGAGTCCTGTGTCAAAAGACAGAGAAGTAGGTGAGATGCACATCAGTGCCCTCCTCCTCCCTCTCACTTGGGGCTCATCTTCCTTTTGGCTCAATAGAGGAGTTTTCTTAAGGATTAAAATTGTTTGTTTTTTTTTTAAAGATTTTATTTATTTATTCATACAAAACTGGGGTACAGGCCAGAGATGCGGAGGGTGAGAGGGTTCACTAGAGACAGAGTGGGGAGCAGAACAGGCAGATCAACGAAGTACACTGCTGAGGGGAGCAGCGGGTGGGTCAGGAGAGGTCTGCCTCGCCATGTGGTCACCTCCGGGGCAGGCAGGGATTGAACTCATGTGGAAGTGCCTTTAGCTCCTCAGTGCTGTGCTTTAACCCGCTGCACCACCAGGGAGGGCCAGGATTAAAATTGTTTAAAAAAAGAGAACAGACTATAATTAGATTGGTGATGATTTTGCAACCTAGTAAATGTACTAAAATCATGACTTCAAAGCAGTGAATTTTATGGTATGGAATTATATCTCAATAAAGCTGTTATTAAAAAACAATAAAATTGGTTGGCCTGAGACAGAATAAGCTTCCCAGGAATTAAGAAGGTTCTAGCTGACCTTTCATGTCATAGGGGTTGTGAAGGAAGTTCCTGAACTGGGAAGGCAGTGGGTCAGAGTGGCTTCTAAAACCTGCCTGCCCTTGAATTCCGTTCTGCTCCGTCTACATGTGTAGTGAGTAACAGAAAGTGAACCACTGGGGAGACCTGTAATTATGGGGAAATATTCAGTATGCTGGTGCCTATGGTGATCAGGCTCAAGATTGGGGTGACCCTAGGTGTCTCACTACAGTCACTGGTGGGGCATGTGGATGTTTTTGCCCTCTAAGCTGGAATTCCTGGGTGCCTGATTCTAGGGAAGTAGTGAAAAAAGGCAAATATATAGGTGCTCTCTGGTTTTTGTGGGCATCAAATAAGAGGACAGACATGGTACTGACATGGATCTAATGCCCCAGCTGTTTAAGTTTTACTCTGCAGTAAATACAGATACAGCCCAAAGGAAACAAGGATGGCTTGCTTGCATTGCAATGGCATTCTCTTAATTTGGTATCATGGAATTAGATTTCTGTTAAGAGTTGATCCCAAAGTACCATTTAGCAAATCCTTTTTTTCCTGGCAATTGAAGTGTTAACACCACAGTGCAGGTCTTTTATTCCTCCTTGAATGTAATTTCCTGATTATAATTTAGCCCTAACAATTATTTCAGCCCTCCCCCCACAGTCACCATTTACAACAGTTTTTGTTATTGGCAATAAATTTTGTTTCCTTTGGATTCAGAAAGCAAGAGGAACCCCAGTAATGGAAAAAACTCTTGGCTACAGTATATGCTACTTTCCAGAGAACAACACTAACCTCACAGAGAAAAAGAATACTACTGAACAGCAACTTGATGTGTACCTGGGAGGCAAGACCTATTGGGTGTCTGTGATTTCTTATAATTCTCTTGGGAAGTCTCCAGTGGCCACCCTGAGGATTCCAGCTATTAATGAAAAATGTGAGTAGAGCTAAACTTCTTACTTAGAACTGGTTCTACCTAGTTGGTTAAGGTTGCTGTTCCTCTTGAGTCTATATGAAAATTAAGTGGGGACTTCGTAAGTTATGGTGGGGAAAATATAATCTGTGGTAACCAAGTGAACCCCTTGAGATAAAGTTCCTCTGGCACAATGCCTGTGTTGAAATCAATGACTTCATAAATCATACAGTACGAAGGCAAAAGCCTGAAGATTCTGTGTGCAACTTGCATTTGTTTTGGCCTGATGACTGCGCTCTTTAAAACTAAAATCAGTCAGATTTGTCCTCAGTGATGGGAACTACGAAATCTCCCCACAAGGTACAGACCACACCCCAGCTTTGGGGTCCTGTCCCTTGTCCTTTCGATTTGACTGCCAAGCTAGGAAAAATTCTAAGTTTATGCTTGTTAATAAGTTGCTCTTTATACTTTTGACTAAGTAATCTGACATTCTAGTGCTCCCAGGCAAACTTGTATTTTATATCTTGTTTTGGAATAAAATATCTTCTTCAGTTCATATTCAAAGAATTGTAGGTAATCAATTTTCTCTTACTGCCATATTCATCTCTATAAACTTTACAATTCCTTTTTCTATCATTTATTACCTATCACCTCCATAAGTCAAGAGATTTTTGTCTGTTTTCTCTTCATCTTTTCTTTTTCCCACCTCCTCCTCCTGCTCTCTCTCTCTGCATTTCCAGTACCTAGGGTAAGCATAAAACAGCTGGCACAGGAAAGGCACTCACTGTCTAGTGTTTGCAGCACTACCTGGAGAACCTAGACCGGCTCAGCATTTATGTACCACTTCTAGGCTAGTCTAGACTTAGTACCCCGGTCCCACCTCCAGCCACTTCCTTTTCGTATCCTACCAGTTAACCTGCTTGTTCCCTGGCCTCATTCTAGAGCTCTTAAATATGCATGTTTTGTATTATTTCAGTGTTTGTTTCCCTTCAGTCCAAGGGACTGAAGACCTGAGACCCTGCTTCCCTGCTCTGCAGTACTCCTAGGGTGACCACACTCACACATGTGTTCCTGCATATACATTCTCTCATACTAGGCTGGACAGCTGCTGAGCAGCCTCTCAGTGTATTGGCCCTGGGGCAGAGGCAGCAGGGATAAAACAGGCCTTGGAGCCAGTGGCGCTGCATTCAGACCTGTGCTCCTGCACTGGGTGCCATCCATCCTGGACAAATTACCTGACCTCTCTAAGCCTTAACAACTTATCAAATAAAGCTATTGTATAGTGATACCCACCTCATTAAGTTGTTGAAGACTGAACGAGATCTTGTGTGTAAAACGCTTCATCTAATGAGAATTATCTTCTTTTAAATAAAAGTTCTGATTAAGTTTCTCTGAGACATGGATTACCAACTTAAAAAATATGATAAAATATACTGTCACTAAAATTTACTGAAGTTTCCCCCTGCTCCATTTCCAGTTCCGAATCCATTTGCTTTATCAGAATTATCGGTGAGCCCAAAACAGGCATCAGCAAACTACATCTCGCAGGCCAGACCTGACCTGACACCTGTTTTTGTAAACAGTCTTACTAGGACACCGCCACACCTGTGGCTCTCATGTCATCTGTGGCTCCTATAGCAGTGGCAGAGCTTAGTGATGTGACAGACATGCTTGGCCAGCACAGTCTCATGAATTTATGAATTGATGCTAGAGGAAAAATCACAGATCCCCAGGCTCTCTAAGTTTACAGTCTTAGATATAGGAAGAAGTAATATTCTAGAGAATTTTGCATGATAAAATGGAGTCAAATGGAGAATAAATTATAATGTTATAAACATAATATTCATTAAATATAATTATCATATATTGCCCGTAAGTATATGTGAGGCATTGAGATGACATAGAGTAATATTAGCTTTGAAATGACCCATAAGGTTAAATGTTATTAGATTCCTTTTACTGGTGATAAATCTGTGATTCAAGAAAGTTTAGTTATTTGCTCAAGCTTCCTCATGTGAAATGTAAGCCTAGATCTGCATGATCAAAATGTGTGCAATCAAATTTATCTGGAAATGTGGACTTGGTAGTAATAAAGTGCCTTAGAGTATGGTGACAGACACTGCATGACACTGAACTGTGGGCTTTTCTACTTCCCCATCTTTAAAATAAGGGGTTGAAATAGATACACTTCGGGTTCCTTCTTGCCTTAGCCAGGAAGCAGCATAACTCCAGATCTGGAGTGATCTGAGGTAGGGTCTAGGGAACACAGCCACCTGTGTGTGGGGGCATCTGAGGGAGAGTTTGGGACTGAGCTGGCATAGAGTTGAGGGTGGGTCAGACAGCATCTGAGGACTATGTCTGACAGCCCAGCATGATGGCCTTTGTGCAAATCCAGAGAAATTAATGGTGTTGACTATCCAAGACCCTCTCCCTTTTTCTTAGGAAAGGTATGTATTTCCTGCCATCCCTGAGAGTGTTTTATTTGGAAGAATCCTCCAACATGTTCTTGTGGAATGAGGGTGGCTCATCAGTAATTCGTTTACATTCCGTAGGAGGACTTGGTGCCTGTCCAGGACCTTCCCTCTCTCAGGCTGACTCATGGCTTAACTGAGCCATCCCCCCACCCCCTCTATGGTCAGAGCCTAGGTGTGTTGCCTTGGTGCCCCACAGTCTATTTCACTCTTTCAGTGCACCTCCTGCTCCTCAGAGCGCCAGTTGGCAAAGAGACAGGGTGGGGGCCTAGGACAACACTCACTCAGTCTTTAGGTCAGGGTTTTTGTGAAGTAATTCATTAAGAAAGCTCTTCTAGGGAGACTAGAAAAGGAAGCAGAGGAAGCAAGGCCAGGCCAGGAGAGGAGGCCAGGCTATGGATGCTGCTTGATTTTTTTCCAGGGCTGACATAACAAGGTCCCACAGGTAGGTCACTTCAAACAACAGCAATGTATTGTCTCCTAGCTCTCGAGGCTGCAAGTCTGAAACCAAGGTGCTGGTAGGGCCATGCTTCTTTCATAGCCTCTAGGAGAGACTCTGTCCATGCTTCTGGACGCTGTTTCTCAGCCGGTGGCAGCATAACTCCAGCAATACACATGGCCAGCTTCCTGTGTGTTTCTCCCGTTGAGTCCATATTAGGTTAAGGGTCCACCATCCAGGGAGAGCAGGGTCCACCATTTTAATTTGACTTCTTATATCTGTGATGCCCTGATTTCCAAATAAAATCACATTCTGCAGTACAGAAGATACCTTTGGGGGTTGGGGGTGATGCAGTTTAACTCAAAACAGGCACAAAATTGGATAAAGGCCCTGGGGAGGGTGGTTCCAGCCTAACCCTGAGCGTTACTCTGGAATGTATTGTCCATCTCAGATTTATCCCAAGTTAGCAAACACAACAGTAAGAAAGACTCTGAGAGGCCCAGGGAACTCCACCATTATCTGCCACAGAGGCTAGGTGATCTTCCAAATGCTCCATGAATGCTTCAGCCTGCCTGGAATGACTTCTCAGGATGCCTAGAATCTATGAGTAGGGGTGATCTGAGGGGAGACAGTAGAACCCCTAGGGACAAGGTGGAATTGACTTCCTGGCTCTGTGCTCCTTGCCCCCACCGCTCCCCTCACCCCAACTTCATGTCTCCTTCATGCCTCAGGTGACCTTTCTCAGAGCTACCCTTCCAGGTTGACAAAGTCCTTGGCCTACGTTGTATGACTAGTAGGGAATGTCTCCGTTTGGAGAAAGGACTGTGGCTTTCCAGAATAGAGGCTCCTAAGTATGCACACAGTTTGCTGGGGCTTTTCATCTAGAAATAGCAGGACTCAGGACCCCTGGTTCCCACCTCAAATCTCTACACTTGGCCTAGGTTTTCAGCTTCAAAAGATTTTTTTGTTTTTTTTTTTTTGAGGGACACCATCACCCAGGACTGTCTTTGACGTTCACTTAGACATACTTCCTGTGGATTCCAAGTTTGAAGGCTAAGGTGTGTTTGCGTGGTGAGAAGTGGGTGAGGGGGTGGACCATATACTGTGACCTCTGAGTGCCATCCTTCCAGCAGTCCTCTGCCTCTCTGCTCCTCCAGACAGTCCTCCTGTCTTCTGTGTATTTAAAACATTGTCAATAAGGTCACTCTCAATTCTTATTAAATCCCAGGTACTGGATCTGAAGCCACCTGTTCAAGCTCTCTGTTAAAGGAATCTGTGGCCGGTTTCCAGTCTTGAGTTTTCTGCCAGGCCTGTGGGAAATGACATTTACATATTGGGCCCTACTTAGGTGCTTTGGATGAGTGCGTCTGTGTATTTCTGGTGCAAACACAGCTCCTCCTGCCTTGACATTAGGAGCCCAGAGTTAGGTTTATGGGTCAGCCTGAGCAGTTGAAATTTGAGGCCATTTCTCTGATAAGAGTTTTAGGATCATCGCCTAACTTTCTAGACACAGAATTACTGGTGCCTGAAAGTCTACCCTTGATTGAGTCTTCCTCTCAGACTTTCTTTTTGACTTGCAAGGATACCTGTGGGTGGTAGGTCTTTTAATTAGCAACTTCCTAGCAAGATCCTTTTGTAGGAACAGGCAAATTTGGGGGGAGGTTAAATAAAAGGTGAAGAAGACATTCAGTCATCAAAGTTGGGAGTAAGGAGAGGTGATACAATAAACAGGTGAAACTAGCACCTGAAGGGGAGACTGCATGGAGATCTGGAACTTTGGAATGGGCACTGAATGGATGCCAGCGAGGCTGGTGCATCGGGAGCAGTTGGGTAGTGGTGAAGCAGTGCTTTTCTCTCCTTTCAGCATTTGGCTGCATTGAGTCCATGCAGGCCTGCCTCACTCAGGACCAGTTATTGGTGGAATGGCAAAGCCCAACTCTGGAGGTGGACTCATGGGTGATCGAGTGGTTCCCAGATGAGGACGCAGAGCCCTCTCCCATCTCCTGGGACTCTGTGTATATGGCCAGGAACTGGACCCTCCAGCAAGGTAACCAGAGCGGAATCCTGAACTTTGCCTCTGTGTAGCATCTAGTTTCATTTTTATCCATTTTGAAATCTTTAGCTTTGGCTTCCAAGCTGTGTATGTGGTTATTAATAGCATTTATCAAGCAAGCTTAGTGAAATGACACACTTCTTGGCATTCTCCAGCAAGGCTGAGCAGGAAGTCATGGTGTCAGACCATATATCTGGCCTATTCCCAGGAGGAGAGCAGCATCTTACCCGTCACTAGCTTTCCCCAGGTACCTTGGTCACCTCAAGGTATCCAGGATGCTTCCTTCAGTTCTGGCTGCCTGGTCTTTTTTTTTAAAGATTTATTTATTTATTCATACAGAACTGGGGTACAGGCCAGAGATGCGGAGGGTGAGAGGATTCACCAGGAACAGGGTGGGGAGCAGAACAGGCAGATCGACAAAGCACACTGCTGAGGGGAGCAGCGGGCGGGTCAGGAGAGGTCTGCCTCGTCATGTGGATCTCCTCTGGGGCAGGCGGGGATCAAACTCATGCGGAATTGGCTTAAGCTTCTTAGTGCAGTGCTTTAACCCACTGTGCCACCAGGGAGGGCCTGGCTGCCTGTTTAAGAATTAACCTACTCCCCCAGGCATGGATTGAGGGAATAGCCTTCTTTTCAGGAAAGTCCCTACTCCACATGAGACATGTGAGTAAGACTTTACCCTCCCACCCCAATCAGCCCAACCACTTCATGATACGTAATAGCATCCATATGAAGACCTATACAGGCAAGCTGAGGAGTTGGAATTAATGGTATCTGAGTCCTATAGGGTAATGTACAATTGCCAGGAGGGCTAAGTGTACCTTTAGTAGCCTTCAATCATATGACAGGGCCCTCCCTGGTGGCATAGCCGGTTAAAGCACAGCACTCACTAAGAAGCTAAAGCCACTTCCGCATGAGTTCGATTCCTGCCTGCCCCGGAGGTGACCACATGGCGCGGCAGACTTCTCCTGACCAGCCCGCTGCTCCCCTCAGCAGTGTACTTCATCGATCTGCCTGTTCTGCTCCCCGCTCTGTCTCTGGTGAAGACTCTCACCATCCCTGAGCCTCTGGCTTGTACCCCAGTTCTGTATGCACAAATAAATCTTAAAAAAAAAATCATATGACAAATTCAGTGATGGAGGAGAGACAGGATCTCCTGCTATTCTCTTTGTGGATGGTTCTGTCATTTTACCAGATTGGTGCAGTTTAGTTGTAAGAGTTAACTAGAAATACTAGAACAGAGATAGACACAAGACACTATCTGACCTAACCTTATTTACCAGATGTGGAAACTGTAGAAATAGAGAACATATCCCCAAAGCATTAGCCATAATCTTAGTCTAGCATTCCTTCCAATATAACATATGCTGCACTTATGTTTGTTCTTCCTATCTCCCCACTCTCTTTCACAGATAAATTAAAACCTTTCTGGTGCTACAACATCTCTGTGTATCCAATATTGCAAGAGCATGTGGGCGAACCATATTCCATCCAGGTTTACATCAAAGAAGACAGTATGTATAGACAAGCCCTGGGGGAGGGCACACCCGGGGCTGTCAGGTGCTCTCGCCAGGGTTTCATGGCTGGTTGCCAAAGGGCTTGTCTATGTGGCACACACGTCTGATCGATCAGGGTTCACTGAATCTCAAAACTGTTCATTTACATTACAAATTGTTGAATCTAAGCCCCTCCTTGCACAAATGGAAAATTTACCTAGAGAGGTGAAGTTGCCTGAGCTCATAAAGAAATAGTGCAAATAGCAAACAAGCAGAAATAATGTTTCATTAAAATGAACTTAGGCAGAGTTAATTAAGTTGGAAATGCTACAATATTCATCTGTGTAGCTATACACAAGGATTTTACTGGTGAGTTGCTCAGACTTTGTTGTAGTCTTTTTGGTAGCTCCCAGCTTCCAGATTTGACATTGGGAGATAACATTCTCTTACTCAGAGGTAACATTTGAAGCTTACTCTAATTATTTGACAACAGTTATACTTTACATATTTGCATGAAAGGGCTGGATGCCAAATTTCGGTGAAAAATCCAGAAGAATGTACATTTTCTCTGGTTTTTGGCACTGCTTTTCTTCCTGTTCAAGATTGATGGATTGATGACCCCAGGAAACTCTTTTCCCTAAGAAAATGATTCATCAGTTTCCTACCATATCTTCACTTCTTACCCCTGGCATTGATTTTAGTCTGAGTACTCACAAGAGCTGTTGTGGTACAGGATCTGCTAGAGTGTGACCCAGTGTGAATTATTTTTCTCTCTGTAAAGTTCCATTGGAAGGTCCCATGGCCCAGGTGGAGAACATTGGCATAAAGACGGTCACAGTCACATGGAAAGAGATTCCCAAGAGTCAGAGGAGAGGTTTCATCAGGAACTATACCATCTTTTACCAATCTGAAGATGGAAAGAAATTCTGTAAGTGTACTTACAGCCAAATTGAGCAAGACCCAAGCTCCAAATAGATGGTACGGATAGACCTCCCTTGGGGTACTCTGTACCCCTGTGTGAGTCACTTGGCTTCTTTGCGCCTCTCTGAAAATGGGGCCATGAGCATCTGCATCGAGTGTTTTGTTGAATGAGAGTGAAGTGACAGTACCTGTGCGTGCTCTAGGGAGCAGAGGAGTTGACATAATTGTCCTGGTTAGGCCTTGGTCATATAGGACTCCTCAGAGTTCCTCAGCAATTATTCCCAATCTGGATTAGCCAGGGACAAAACCTGTTTGGTGACATGTATTTCAGTGCAGGACTTCTGTCATGATTCCACTGCCCCTGCCACATCATACTATTTTCTGATTCACTGCCTCCTGACATCCTATTTTCTGGGCTAAACCTGGACTCCTGTTTAAGCTAACTTTTGTTGTTGTCATGGTAAAATACAATAAACTTTACCATTTAAAAAAAATCAAAAATATGCAATTCAGTGTTGTGCAGTGTTGTGCAGCCATCATTACTACCTCTTCTTCTTTTATACCCAAATAGTAACCCTGCACCTATTATCAGTCACTTCTCATTCCACTCTTCCCAGAGTCCTATGGGTCACAAAATTGCTTTCTCTATGAATTTACTTATTATCCATGTTCCAAATAAATCATATGGTGGATATGTGACGTGCTGCATCTGGTCTTTTTCACTTAGCCTCATGTTTTCAAAATTGACCCACTGCATGTGGTAGCATGTACTAGTACACCATGCATTTTTATGCCTGAATAAAGTTCTTTTGTAGGCATAGAGCGCATTTTGTTAACTCATTCACCAGTGGGCTGACATTTAGGTTGTTTCCACCTTTTGGCTACTATGGCTAATGCTGCTGTGAACATGGGTAGCACGGTAACTCCAGGTTCCTCTCTGAGGAGTCCCATGGTGGCTGCACCATGGAATTTTACATTCCCACCAGCTTCTCTACATGCTTGTCAATAACTTGTTACTTTCTGTTGAGGTTGTTCAAATTAATTGACTGTCCTAGTGGGTATGATGAAGTATCTCAGTGTGATATCTAATTATATTTCCCTATTGACCAGTGGTGTTGAACATCTTTTCAGTGTTTGTAGGTCATTTCTTCAGAAAAGGCTTTTCAGTCTCTTTACCTATTTTAAAATTGGGCTGTTAGCTTTTGGTTGGTAAGTTGTAATAGCTCTTTATATAGTCTGCATACATGTACCTTATCAAAAATATAGTCTGCACATATATGTTTCCATTCTGTAGGTTGTCTTTCTCTTTGTTGTGCCTTTTGATGCACAAAAGCTTTTCATGTTGACAAAGATCAGTTGAAGGTCTTTCCTTTTGTTGCTTGTGTTTGGTATCAAATATAAGAAACCATTTGCCAGATTCAAAGCTAAGAAGATTGAACTATGTTGTCTCTTAAGATGTTTATATTTTTAACTCTTGTATTTAACTCTTTCAATTATTTTGATAGACTAACTTTAAGCAGAAAGTGGATAGAGAAATTGAAATATGACCACACTTGGAAGTACTGTGGTGTTTTTTTTTTAAAGACTTGTTTATGCATATAAGAACTGGGGTAGAGGGCAGAGGTGTGTGGGGGTTGAGAGTTTTCACCAGAGACAGGGTGGGGAGCAGAACAGGCTGATGGACTGAAATACACTGCTGAGGGGAGCATCGGGCGAGACAGGAGAGGTCTGCTGCACCTTGTGGGTCACCTCCGTGGCTGGGGACTGAACTCCTTTGCAGTGGCTGCAGAGAGCCCCATAGTGCTGTGCTTTAACCCATGGGGTCATCAGGGAGGGCCCTTACTATGGTGTTTGAATTGTATATTTTTATTTTAGCTAAGACCGTCAATTCCAGCATCTTGCAGTATGACCTGGAGTCCTTGACCCGGAAGACCTCTTACTCTGTTCAGGTCATGGCCAGCACCGTCGCTGGGGGCACCAATAGTACCAAGATCAATTTCAAGACATTGTCAATTAGTAAGTGTTTCCTTCTAGTCCTGGGCACCTCTCCTTGTTATTTCCCTTTTGTCAGTCAGAAATGACATTTGCCAAAGCCACAGGGAAGCCAAATGAAAGGCTAGTACTCAAATGAGAAAATCCACTCTCCTCCCTGTTCATGGACCTTCCTGGTAGATGTATGGGTGAGGAGAGGAGAAAGACAGGATTGAGATTAGCTTATAGAAAGAATGGTCAGTTTGTTCATGCGTAGTTTCTCGAGGAGGACAGATAAAGTTCATGCCAACTTCATTCTGTCCCAAATCAGCTCCCCCCATCACATTGTACCCAAGCTCATAGTTATCACCTTCTCTGTGTTAAGTGGTTACTACAGTATAGGAGAGGGAAAAGCTTGATTGTCTGAGGACCAGTGAATCTCACCATTTGTGCAAGCTTTTTTTTGTTTTTGCTTTTAAGATTTACTTATTTATTTATGTATACAGAACTGGGGTACAGGCCAGAGGTGCAGGGGTGGTGAGCGGATTCACCAGAGACAGAGTGGGGAGCAGAACAGGCCGACTGACGAAGTACACTGCTGAGGGGAGCAGCAGGCAGGTCAGGAGAGGTCTGCCTCGCCATGCAGGTCACCTCTGGGGCCAGCGGGGATCGAACTCATGTGGAAGTGGCTTTCAATTCTTAGTGCTGTGCTTTAATCTCCTGCGCTACCAGGGAGGGCCTGCAAGTTTGTTTTTTGTAAGGTTTATTTATTCATACAAGAACTGGGGTATAGGCCAGAGGGAGGGGAGGGTTTGAGAGGGTTTACCAGAGACAGTAGGGAGCAGAACAGGTACATTGACTGAAATACGTTATCAGGAGAGGTCTGCTGCACCACATGGGTCAAACTTGTGTTGCAGTGGCTGTGGATAGAGAACTTCATAGTGCTGCAGCTTAACCCCTTGAGCCACCAGGGAGGCTCATTTGTGCAGATTTTTTTTAAGCAAAAAAGTGAACAATATGTTCTACTTATGAGCATTGATAGAAAAAAAATTGGGGGCAGGAAAAATTAGTAAATAAAACAAGAATGTTAAATAGGATGTAGCTTCATATGTGGTTAGGGAAATATCAAGAGGGGAGGAAGATGGGATGAGGAGGGAAGTAAAGAAAGAAGGAAGAAGAATGAAAGAAACAGAAAAATAATTTTCCTTATTCCTTGATTAGCAGAACTGAACTTTTAACTAGAGAGCCTTAAGGAATGGACACATTTTATATTGAAGATGAAAGAATATCAATACCTTTTGCAGTAAAAGGCTGTGAAGTAACTGATAGGCTATGAAAGCCTCTTGTTTATCACATTTTAAAAAGAATAAAAAGAGTTCTATGCTTGTGGAAAATGTGAATATGGCATTTATCTCTACATAGAAAACATATGGACTAGTGGATTAATGTTACCTTTTTGGTCAGTGACATTTTCAAATTGTTCTTTAAAATCATGTAAAGCCATGATCTATTTTCACAGCATGGCCCAATGTTGGATTTTTGTCCAGGGGTCAAATTGAAGGCCAGAGCCTTCCTTGGATTCGTTAAATTTCTTACCCTTGTTCTGCAGGTTATAATCTCCCTGCCTCTGTCTATGAAGCTCTATAATTATTCTCCATATAGCAGCCAGAGTTAAAATCCTCGATTTCCTGCTTAAAATCCACCAGTGGCTTCTGTTGTATTCAGAGCCTTCTTTGTCTGTTTCTTGCTGAGCGCATCTCCTCCCATTCTTTGCCTTAATTATGTTCCTTTCACAAAGGCTTTTGCACCTGCCCTTCCTTCTGCCTGGAAACCTTCTCCATATCCTTGCATGCTTGGCTCTTGTTATTGTTAACTCAGATCTCTTTTCTCAAAGGAGTCTTCTCCATCCTTTCTGAAGTTGCTGTCTTCTCTCCCATCTTATCTTAGCTATTCTATCTTATTACTCTGTTTTATCTGAAATAATCACAGTATTTACTTTCTGAGTCCTTCTATGTAAGTACCACAAGAGGAGTGATCTTGTATTTCTCACTTCCTTTTTCTTTTACTCATTTGTATTTAATCCATATTGCTGCTTGTCTTATTACCAAGAACAGCGTCTAGCTGTTCATAGTGTTCATAGTGTTTGGTAATATTTGCTGAATGATGGCAGATGGACCTGGTGAACAGTGTTTATGAGTATTATTCAAGGAGAAGATAACTGGACAGGGAGCCACAAATACCGAGGATTTTTAAAAAATGAGTACATTCTAATGAATTGAAAGAAAACCAATAAGGAAGTGTTGCTGTATCTAGTGGAAGAAAAAATTAATCTTTCTTTTTGGTCAAGAAAGTGAGGGGGATGAGTACACCCTTTCACAGATTTCTACTCTTTTTCCCCCAAAAGGTGTCCTTGAGATTTTCCTTATAACATCTCTGGTTGGAGGAGGCCTTCTTGTTCTCATCATCCTGACGGTGGCATATGGGCTCAGAAGACCTAAGTGAGTTTATAGGCAGCAGCTTGTGCCCTCAATATCAAGGATGGCAAGGGGAAAAGGCATTCTGGGTGGAAGAGGGCACTCTGCCATTAAAGGGGTGTCCACTCACTTATTAATTTGGTACGTATTTATTGCATATGGCTCTTCGGAATGCTGACTGAACAAGGGCAATTTTACCCCACTGCTCACAGTTGCATATACCAGATTTAGGCCTTTATCAGGTCAGGGAGTATGAATTGGCCCCCAGGCTTCATCTGCTGCACTTGCTACCTGAGACTAGAATTGGGGAGATGGTTCCTTTCTCATCATCTAGAGGGGACACCTGGAAAGAGGCCTCAAAGCCTCTTCTCTCTCAGCAGAGAGATATGGACTCACAGAATGAGAGTGCTGGCCAGCTGATACCAGCACGGACATCAGGTGCAGTGTCCAGGGCCAGCCACTGGGGCAATTGCCTGGCTACTTCAGGGAAGTGAGTTCCCTTCAGGGTCTTGTGCTTTCTCCCCAAAGGAAGCTACCCTGATGGTCAAGGGCTCCCTCCTCCTCAGACCTCTCTCCCTGGAATTGGACACTGGTTGGCCATCTCTGCTAAGCAGCTGTGCTTCGTTAAGTGTTAAGCTAATGTCAGCTTCAGTTCTCAGTTGAAATTTGTAACCAAGTCACCAGCATCAATTCTTGTACATTTTACACGTCTAAGGAGGTGCTAATCCCATCGGGACCACACCTGAATGTCACCGCATTTTCCCAAATGTGGGTGTCTCAGGAGGGCTCAGACTTCTATTCTCTGTGATGGTGTGATTCTGACTTTGGGACCAGGCTTGGAGATGCAGGCATGGGAGAGAAAGGAAGGGTAGGCATAGCTTTACGTGAGGATAGTTCTCTTCCCATCATGTCCCTTGGGTGCCACTTTGCTTTCCCGGTTATTGTCAGGAGGCTGGGAGCTCGCCCTAACTTAAGAGGAGAGATACACAATTCTCTCTAGCAAAGTCCTGCTCTTTTGGCTTGCCCATATAGTGCATAGAAAATGCCTTTTGGACTCACTACCTGTTTTAAACTTTTGTCTTCTTAGCAAACTGAACCACCTGTGTTGGCCCAGAGTCCCCAACCCTGCTGAAAGCAGTATAGCCACGTGGTGTAGAGGTGATTTCAAGGTAAACACTCCTGGCTGTGAGCCACCTGGTTGTAGGAGGTAAATGGGGGGGGGGGGGGTGGCTAGGCTGAGATTTCTAGAGCATTTGCACAGACAGCTCAAGGTTAAAAAGTCTCAGGGAAGAGATAGAATCAGCCAAAGAAAGGGCTTCAGGCTCACAGGGCCTGGTGTGTACCGGGCATGGAACTGGTCCTGCAAAGGTGCACAGGTGAGTCCCCAGCCCCACCTTAAGGGAGTGATTAGAAAGTGAGAGAAGGCCCAGCCATAAGGAGCCACTGAAGCAGCCAAGAGCAAGCTAGTAGAGAGTGCCTGATTTACACAGCTGTCCCTGGGCTGGACAGGAAGCTTCAGACTGTTTGGATCAGAATGAGGAAGTTATCATCAGATTCTGTTCAACTGGCAGTGGGGACTTTTACAGAATCAGCTGTAAGTAGAAACTCTTTCTCATGAGTTTAAAGATTGAAAACTTACGAAAATTTTTAAGGTTTAAGCAGCAGTAAATCCATCAAATATAATCTTTACATCTTTATTATTAAAAGATTTCCAATACTTTTTTGATGCAGGAATTTTTAATGTTAGCCCTCATTTCAACTCAGCCTTTTTCTATTATATTTTGGGTTTCCCCCCCTTCATTGTCTTGTATTAGGCAGTGTTGTATAAGCTTTAAAATGTTTTGAATAATCTGTGGAACTGGCTTCTGTAGTGAGCACTTATTAACCACTTAATGTCAGGCACTGGGCTAGGCTCTGAAGTTCCAGTGAGGACAGGGACAACACTGACATGAGGCCACCTTTGATTTTTCTGGTGATGTTGGCCAAATTCATTTGTCCTTATGATTATAGTTTTGATGCTCCCATCTCAGCAGGGGGTTTCTTGAGCATACAGTTGTAAGAATGGGAAATAGCCTAGAGCTCTCTCAAAGAACTGACTGATGAAGGTCCTCCCTGGTGGTACAACAGGTTAAAGCACAGCACTATGAAGCTGACTGCAGCCATTTCATGAGTTCAACCCCTGGCTAGGGAGGTGACCCACGTGGTGCAGCAGACCTATCCTGTCTCACTTACTGCTTCATCGGCAGTGTACTTCGTCGATCTGCCTGTTCTGTTCCCCACTCTGTCTCTGGTGAATCCTCTCACTGCCCCTGTTTATCTGCCCTGTGTCCCAGTTCTGTATGCATAAATAAAGAAATCTTTTTTTTTAAAAAAAGAACAAATTGTTTGAATATATTGTGCTCTTTCTCAGGAAATGGGCCACCTGCAAGTTGTTATGGAAGGGCAGAGGAGGTATTTGATCATCATTTATGGTATTTGACAGGAAGGTGTGGTGATGGTTAAGAAGTGGGACATTGGAGGGTTCCAAGCCTGATGAGTAAATGTAGCTACCAAATGACTGTTGGCGGTATTCCGTTTTCTTTTCCAGGATAAACTATATCTGAAGGAGTTTGATGACTCTGTGAACATGGAAGAAGACAGGATTCTAAAACCGTGCTCCGCCCCCATGGACCTAATTGACAAGTTGGTGGTGAACTTTGAAAATTTTCTGGAAGAAGTTTCCACAGAGAAACCTAGAAAGGGTCAGGAAAACATCTTGGGGGAAGAGAATGAATATGTGAGCTCACCTAATCGGCCCTCTTGTCCCCTTGAGAAGAGTGTCGAGGAGCCACTCACTTTAACTGAAATTCCGCCTGAAAACTCCCAGCACCAGTGTTCTGCAATGCCAGGGGGGACCCGCTCAGAAGCCAAAGAGCAATTTCTCTTTTCTGCTCAGAGTTTAAAGCCAGACCATTTTTGTGAGGAAGAAACACCAAATCCTTATTTGAAAAATTCAGTAACAACCAGGGAATTTCTTGTGTTTAGAAACTTTCAGATCAAACCAAGAGAGACTGATACCAATATGGCCTGAATTGCTCTGTATCTTGGTATAGGTGGCTCTTGAGAGAGATGATATCAGGACTTAACTGGAGGAACTTCCTTGGCTGATCTCCCCATCCTGCTTGTGCTGATCAAGTCTCAGGCCCCAAGTGTCTGGTTGAGCATTTTTGACACAGATGTGTAGCTCTCCTGAGACAAAGGGACAGTGATAAGCCTGAGCACTTTGCAGAGGAAAAGCAATTTGTTGTTGTTGTTCAGATAACTCATTCTCATGGAGGGAGACTTGGGCAGTCTGACTTCAAGGGACAGTGGACCTGAGGTGGCTGTTTCTGCCCTTCCCTAGGAACTGGGTCGGGGCCGCAGTCTTTACTGGGGCTACTGCCAGGACAGACTTTCCCTGTTGCCAGAAGACAGTTGTTTAACTGGCACTTGCGCTGTCTTGCGGGAGGGGAGAGTTTCTCTCCTTTCACTTTGGCCACCCCTAGGCTCAGGGGCTCCCCCTCTAAGGTCACCTTACACTCTCACTTTTGAGACCACATTTCTCTCTCAACACAGGGAAGTGTTGTCTCAACACAGGAAGTGGAGTGACCTTCCTAAAGATGTGCAATCATTACCCACATTGACCCCAAGGCCAGAGGTAGGCCAAATAGGTGAGGGTGGTTGAAGGGCATAAAGAAAGATCTCAAGTATCTGTAGCAACAGCCTCACCAACACTCCTGCCCCTAGTGCATCCACATAGGCTCCTGATGAATCAGGAATGAGAGGGCCGTACCAGGGTTCTGGAGGGTGGACTGCAGTCTGGGCTGGGGCTCCACTCCCTCTCCAGGCATTGCCCAGCCCTGGAAAGTGTTCCTGGAGGCCCTTGCCATCCTTCTATCTTATACCCAAGCCTGGGCACAGAAAGGCACCAGGCACTGCAGTGGCTTCTGTACAGGGATCTGGCAACTCACCCTGGCTTGGAGTCTCAGAATACTGACTGAAAACCCCCTCCAGTGACCTCGTTCCAGAAGCAGCCAAGCAGGGCCTGAGGACAGGCACTGTGCAGCAACTGTGCTGCTTTCTTACCTGGGCTCTCCCCTCACCCCAGCCAGGTGCAGAGCTCTTGCCATTTTGTAGTGCCATTAGTCCAAGTGCTGACGTAAGATTCAGCCACCGAGACCCCGGCTCTCACAGCTGGTGCTGGGCTGGCGCACTGGCCACCGTCACGGCAGATGACTTCCCATATGTGGCTGTGGCAGGGAAAGGTCACTGAGCACATAGGTCAGGATGCTGAGGCCCAGGGTCCAGTGGGCTTGGCATTTGCCAGTTGGAAAGTTTGATGGAATTTTTCTAGGAGAGTTTAAACAGTATTTGTGTAGAGGTACCAGCCTCACAAACCAACAGTCCGCCAATTCAGGTATGACAAACATCAACCTCCAATTACAAAAATTAATTTCTAGCCCAGTCCCCGCCCTAGCCAAGTCACCACAGCCCAGTTTGGTCATCTCTGAGTCTCTGGGCTTATAACTCAGTCACATTCAGAATCTCAGTTCCCAGTCCTACTGAGCACCAGAGGATGTGCCATGGAGGCACAGTTTTGTCTCATTTTATGTATTGAGATGTGCTTGTGCCCCCTCCTCCGCAGGGCAGGGCATTGGGGAGCCTGCCTGATAAAAGGGATACACCCGTTTGTGTGATTTTTGGGGGTCTACCTCTCCCCACCAATCTGTTCCCTACTGTTGTCACTTGGATGCCTCAGTGAGCTTCCTGTCCCCCAGAGTTCCAGAGGGGACCCTTTCCACCCTTCATGATTGTGCACTTTAGCAGGTTGGAGCCTTGTACCCCACAGCTGGCCTCTCTCCTGTGACTCTTAACCACCTCCAGCTGAAGGTGGAGTATGTATGATGTGCGGGGGTTGGGAGGGAGGGTGGAAAGGCCTACACCAACCTTCCCAGGCTTGTCTGCCCACACCTGAATGAGGCTCTTGAACCTAAAATCCAAGAATCTGAAGGCTGCGTCCCATAGATAGGTTTCAGCAGGGAAGATGTTGCCCTCTGTGCTCCTTCCTTCATCCTTCATTAAAGCTGCAGCAGGCTCTCCTGGGTGGTCTAGCTCATGCTCCTGGCCCTTCCTCTGATTCCCTTCTGCTCTTGTCTCACTTCCCTTCCTGCCTCCTAAATCCGCTGCTGCTGAAAACCTCCCAGCATTTTCTCATCTTTTTAACTTTTCCTTTTTTTGTTGTTGTTTATTTTCATTTTATTCTTTTCCTTACCCATAAGCCTGCTTTGGTCATTTCCCATATTTATTTTGGTTGCTTCTGAGGGCCAGGAGAATTGGGGCTTTCTGTTCTAGGTGGCTCTATGGCCTTGTCATAGAGTCAACGTTTCCTATCTCCCAGGGGATTTGCTTTCTTAGGAAGCCCAGAAACTTAGTCAGCAGTGATCCAGGGCAGATTCATTGGACACAGGCCTGAGAGGTTAAGAGCCACTTTCTCCTCTGAGATCCTGTCAGAAACTGTCCCCATCCCTAGCGTCCTGAGCTGCTTCTGTGGCCAGAAAAGGACATCGGCATTTTCTCTTACTGGCAAAGAAACGTTGAGTGGCCCTAACAGGAAAAACTGTGCTTTAGCAGTGTCATTACAAATTGATAAAATACCTCTTAAGGGCTTTTGAAACTCTGAGAATCATGTAAACAGCTAGACTAATGTCCCATTAATGGTCTTTTTCTTTTATAGTAAAAGCAGAAAAACAGAATGGCAGAGAAGCCAAGCTGTAGTTTAAAGAGACAAAAAACAATAGATTTGTCCGTATTTAAGGAGGCAGCAGTGTAAAAACTATGTGGGAATTTGGAAGAGGCAGGAGGTGGGACAGCAGAGCAAGGAGAATATTAGGCAGGGCCCACTGCTGTGCCGTCCTATGTTCCATGGGGAAACCTGAGCCAGTCTGCTCGGGGGCTCCCAGAGGATTCACCCCTCCAGCACCTTAGTTACTCTGCTGCAGGCTCACGCCAGCGCAGGCTGCAGCAAACCAGCCCAGTGCCACTTCCAGGCCCCGTTTTTGCCCAGCTCATAAGCCAAAGGAAGATAGTCACACTTCTAAACACCTGAAAACAAAATGAAAGGAAGAATAATGTTTTGTGGCTGTGAAACTTCTATGGAATTCAACTTTCAGTATCCATTAGATACAGCTTAATTAGAACATAGCCAAGATAGTTGTTTATACACCATCTGAAGGTACTTTTCCCCTAGAAAGGCAGCAGTTTCTTGCACAAAGCATTTTGTGTTCTTCCCACAAAATATGTTGCCCATCTGGCCCTTCACATAAAACTTTTTCTGACCTGGTGTAGCCCACAGACTAGTGCAAGGCAGCAATGTGACAGCCCAGTGTTGTCTATGTTGAATTAAATAATCAGATCCTGGATTTCTAAGGGAATAACTATCGCTACCTTTACCCTCACAGCTTCCTGTCCCAAAGGCAAGATAGACAGTTGGTGGGTTTTCATGGCTAACTCAGGCAGTTCTGCTTCCAGGTCTTTTGCTACCCCCCCCCCCCCCCCCCAGTACTTACAGAGCAGGCCTGGAGATCTCGGGAGGGGTGTTGCTGCCATCTAGTGGATACGAGCCAGTAATGCAGGCTGTCATCCTACAAGGCCCGGAACCCCTGGGCCAGGTCAGTAGTGCAAGCTGGAGAAACCCTGCAATCATTTAAGCTGAGTGCCACTCAGTGTAACTTTAGAGAAACTTCTTTTTTTGTCATTTAAAATTTATTTTGGATTCAGTTTTACATGTTGTTGGCTACTTAAAAGATGAAATTTTTGTAGCACATTTAAAATTTTTATGCTGTTATATTTTGTTTTTTTTGAAAACAGGCAACAGCATTGATTTGTAATCCCAGAGGTCAGTGCAATCTTTGTCTTGTGCAGAATAGAGTATGACAAAGCTCACTAGCAGGTATTGATGGACACTGGAGTCAGTAGGGAGATTGTTGAGAAGCACAAAGAACCCCAAACTGGAAAAGCCTGGAGGTTCCTTTTTCATTGGCTTTGAGCTGCACACAGGACTGTCTGAGCTACCTGCTCCATGCTGGTAAGAGCACGAGGCCCAAACTCAGTGAGCCTCAGGTTCAAGGAACTCTAGATGCAGTAGTGCTGCTGTCAATTTTAGGAATGGAATTTTCTGTCTTAGCCAACTTCACTGTATGTATGGGAAAAGTGCCAGGAAATGTACTGAGGTCTGGACTCTGAAATAGAAATGTGTATGTGCACACCAGAATGGACGAGCAGAACAACCTGGACATTATGGCAACCAGGAAGGTGGTCTTCATATGCTGCCCGTACATCTTTGCAATAGGTAATGCATGTGCATCAGAGTTCTTTTCTTCTAAGCAGAGTGTTAAAACCACTGTTGTAACAGGAAGAGCCTCTGAATGGCTTTATCATCCATCATTGGTATTTTGACCTTCCGAGTAATAAAGCTGTAATGTCACTTCTGTGTATGTTTAAACATCTTTCCTACTCAGATGTTTAAATGAGACTTCACAGGTAAATATCCAGTTTTCTTAATGCTGCCTCTGGGAAACAGAAGAGCGCTGGACCATGGTGAACAGGACCAATGGTGAACAACTCCTGCCCTCACAGCCCTGCTGAGACCTCAGCCTCACACTGGCTCTCGTGGTCTCCCTGCTTCCTTCCTCGCCGCAGTGTTTTCAGACCCCTTCATCTCCTCAAGCTCTCTCAGGGTCTCCCCCTATTGCTCTGAGAGTGTGGTCCCCACTCCTTGGAGCATGTACTCCAGCCAGCACCTCTCCTCTCCAGGCCAAACTTAGAAGAGGGCCTCAGGAGAGGGCTCTGCCCTGATCCCTGTGCCTCTCCTGCACTCTGGACTCTCTCTCTGTCTGCCTTCCCTTAACAGTCTCTCAACTGTCTTTCAGGTCCCTTCCATCTTAAAAGAGAAAGCAGAGAGCTCCTCTACCTCCAGCTGTCTCTGGCTGCTCACCCACACTCTCCGCCCACCAACCTGTGGTTTAAGGTAGAGCCGGCCACATCCTGTGTAGCAGCCACTTGCTTTTCTTTCTTTTTTTTTTCTTTGTGGTGGTGTGAGAATTGCACTTTTCAGACTTTGTAAATGTATAGAACGAGGACATCAGACTGGTCTCTGAAGTACCCAAATAGAAGGCACATATCTACCCCCATTATTCTTGCAGAATCATGGAAGAGGCCAGAATTCCTTCACAGTTAGCTCAGGCTGTGTTCTCTTCATCATCAAGGTTAAGAACAGGTAATGTTTTCTGGGGCTTCTGTGCCAAGTAGTCTGCTCTGGGCTTTCCACAAAGCATCTGGTAATCCCCACAACAGTACATTGAGGTACTACTGCCCAATTTACAGAAAGATGGGCACCATTTATACGGAAATAGATCCATTATCCAATTCAGAGATGAATCTGAGAGGCAATGTGACCCGTAACGTGAACTCAGGCCCCCGAGTCCCCTTGAATTGCTCTGCCTCTGCTTAATAACGAAGATGGTGGCAGCAAGGAGCGGAGGGCCTTCATAGATCACTCCTCCCTCACATGGATGTGTC